GAGGGAGAGAGAGATAGAAACATCAATAATGAGAGAAAGCCCTAACCGGTTTGGCTCGGTAGATAGAGTGTCGGCCTGCGGACTGAAAGGTCCCAGGTTCAATTCCGGTCAAGGGCATGTTCCTTGGTTGCGGGCACATCCCCAGTGGGAGGTGTGCAGGAGGCAGCTGATCGATGTTTCTCTCTCATGGATGTTTCTAGCTCTCTATCCCTCTCCTTTCTCTCTGTAAAAAGTCAATAAAATTTATTTAAAAAAAATAATAATAATAATGAAAGAGAATCATTGATTGGCTGCCTCCTGCCCACCCCTAACTGGGGATCCAGCCCGCACCCAGGCATGTGCCCTTGACCTGAATCAAACCAGGGACCCTTCAGTCCCCAGTCCAATGCTCTATCCACTGAGCCAAACCAGCTAGGGCATGATGTTTCTCTCTCTCTCTCTCTCTCTCTTTCTCTCTTTCTCTCTCTCTCTCTCTCCCCCTCTCCCTTCCTCTTTGAAATCAATAAAAATATTTTAAAGAATAAAATAAAAATAATTTAAAGGCTAATTCAGTTGAAGACAAAATTCACAAGATAAATTAAAAAATAAATGGTTCAGGTCAAAATGCACAAAAAACAAGTTTATAAATATGCAGGTAGCTCATCACATATAAATATTTAATAATTTCTTAATTACTACCATTAGTAAAAACTATTAATTCCACTATACTTGACATAGCAGCAATATCAAATTATAGGGAAGTCTCCATTTTATATATATTCAATACACCAATTACTTAACTTAGTAATTATAGCATGTGTTAGGGCTTTTTATAACAATTATCCTTCCTCAGATTTTGCTCCAGCAAAACTACCTAAAATTTCCTGGTTACATATTCAGTTTTACTTGTTCGTATCTTTACGGTATTCCTTTTGCCTAAAATGCTCTCCATCTCTTCCACTTAAAACTTGTATTCATTGTTCAAAATCTGCTCAGTTGCTAGCATCTCTATATTTTCTTTGACCGGCCCCTCAAATTAATCATCCCATCCTCTGTAGTATTTCTGTATTTTACGCTTACTTTTATTAAAATTATGCTTGCCAGCTGGCATGGCTCAGTGGCTGAGCATTGACCTATGAACCAGGAGGTCATGGTTTGGTTCTTGGTCAGGGCACATGCCCAAGTTGTGGGCTCTATATCCCCAAATGTGGGGTGTGCAGGAGGCAGCACATCAATGATTCTCATCACTGATGTTTCCATCTTTCTCTCCCTCTCCCTTCTTCTCTGATATAAATAAAAATATATTAAAATTTTTTAAAGATTATGCTTATTGTTGTGCCTAGCCCCCTACAACCCTGATTTCAACATCCTAACAAAAACCACAGGACCTAGCACACAAAAAATCAATTTATTAAATTTGAATTTGTTTTCTTTTTTTTTTCTTCAAATCTTTATTGTTGCAGATATTACAGATACCCCCTTTTTTCCCCCTATTGCCCCTCTCTACCTAGTCCTCCCCCCCCACAGGCCTTCACCACCTACTTGATCTGTGTCCATAGGTAATGTATATATACGTATAAATTCTTTGGTTAATCTCTTCCCACCCCACCTCCTCTCTTCTCTCTGAGATTCATAAGTCTGTTCCATGTTTCCATGCCTCTGGTTCTATTTATCATCAGTTTATTTTGTTCATTAGATTCCTTGTTTGTTTATTTTGATTTTTAGATTCAATTGTTGATAGATATGTATTTATTGCCATTTTATTGTTCACATTTTTTTATCTTTTTCCTTCTTCTTAAAGAAGACCCAAAACTTACATTCCCCCAATACAAGGCTACATATGCATTGAAAGATGTGTTCTAAAGTAGAATGGATAGGAAAAGAAAATGCAAAATGCTCTATAGATAATCCCCAATTCCATAATGCAAATGTGAATTTAAGATTATTAGCAGTTCAAAGTTGTTTCAATTTAAGTGCCAATCTACCAACTTATCATCACCACAACTAATTTTGTTTAAGACACTTATTTGTTTAGGAAAACAAAACTGGTTTTAAAGTGTTGATTAAAAAGAATTAGGATATATGAGGTGCTTAAAATAAACTATTTCTAAAAAATGAATAGCCTAAACTGCAAGCAGCAGGATCTCAAAATGATTGGTACAGCTGGTCTCTGCTGAGGTTCTGAAGACCACTGCCACTATGACCTCATCCCTCACTATGACCTCTCTAGGGACAAGATGGACAATAGCTGTGGTCATACCTCAATTAGGGCCCTTCAAAACCGACATATGTGCAAAACCCTCAGTCAAGGATAATCATATTTATTCATTTTTATAAAATAAATGACAATCATCTTCCATGAACACTATCAACCAGTTAGTCTGATTGGTGTGGCCTCATTGAACTATAACTTACATTTTTAAAAAACATCACAAAATGAAATGGGATTGGGCATCAATGATTTAACACCTGGTGAAATTTAAAATTTGTATTATTTCATGTTCTGTTCCTCAAATAACACAACTGAACAATATCTTGCACTTTAGCTTCTTGTAAATTAAGATTCACAACCAACAAGTGCCAAATGTGTACCAACACTTTGCTCCCAACACAATTGGTGTAAACAAACCATGTAAACGTTATGAGTTTGCCTTAAGTTCTATATTTTCTTCATAAATGCTGCCTCCCCTTTCCAATCCACAGCACCTAATTTCTGTGGGCTGAAAAATCTAAGCAAAAAGTACAAACAGCCCTAACCGGTTTGGCTCAGTGGATAGAGCCTTGGCCTGCGGACTGAAGGGTCCCCGGTTCGATTCCGGTCAAGGGCATGTACCTTGGTTGCGGGCACATCCCCAGTAGGGAGTGTGCAGGAGGCGGCTGATCGATGTTTCTCTCTCATCGATGTTCCTAACTCTCTATCCCTCTCCCTTCCTCTCTGTAAAAAAATCAGTAAAATATATTTTTTAAAAATATGCTTTAAAAAGTACAAACAGATACTGAGGACCTAAGGGATTCTCCCATCGATAAAGCACATGTATTTTCATTTGCCTCAGTGTTCTTTTGGTCAACTTGCAGGTTCTCGCTTTTAGTCTATCGAGTGAAGCCACTGTTTGGTATCTTATAAATAAGTCTGTTGTAACCATTTATGACAAGTAAGAATATCTTCCATTGATTAGGATTTGATTAATACCAACTACGGTATTATAAACCTATTGAGGGGGGGAAAAAACACACCCTATACTTCCAAAGTTTAAAGATTGTTTAATACCTTAATTTACCATAAAGTTTCTCCAATATTCTTAGAGCTGCAAGTCAAACTTATTAAACTGACGACTCAGGTTAAAAATCACAAACGTAGTTACTACCTAAACAGACAATACTGACCGGCAGAGAAAATTTTTCACTGGCTTTTCAGTACAAGAGAAATTAGTGCTTCCAATGGAAGCCATAGCACCTACTCAATTGTAAAATCTAACTAAAAAATTAAAAAATCTAAAAGAAGCTGGAAAGAGAAGGCAATTCAATAGGCCCATTTTGTCACTCCTGTTCAATATCTACTAAGCACCCTAAATTCTAGCCATTTCACAAAATCCTGAGAGAATGCTGGTTCCAAACAATAACTGCGAAATAATAATAATAATAATAATAATAATAATAAATGTGTAACAACCCCACAGCCCGCTCCTGCGCTCTCCCACAGCGAGCGGCGAGGAGGCGGCGCGCTCTCCCCGAGAGTAACTCACGAGGTACCTCGCTCATGAATGAAGCCAAATTCACCGCGGGCCACGGGCCGGGGCTCCCAAACTTCTCCGCACAAAGTACGTAGAAAGAGACAGGGCTGGGCGAGACCCAACTCAAGCGAAGAAGCGGCTTCAAAACCTGAAAGGCAGAAAACGGCGAGTTGAGGTCGTCGCTCTAGAAATTTCCGAGCGCCAGGATCCCGGGGAGGGAGCGCGATGCCCGGCGGG